AGGGTGATAGCTGGTCATGACCGCTCATTAAAATTAGTCCTGCAGTAGCATATACCAACATCTCCAAGTCAAGCACCAAAGCATTCTTATTCCAGATTTGGACATATACCAGGTTGCGCCCAAAAAGTCAAAGCATTCCTACAAAGTTTGCCAAGTAACAGCTTTGCTGGAGGGGTAACTTACATAAGAATGGGTTCCACATTCTGTAACTTTGAACTTAAAGATGGCGACCTGGTTGTTAACAATGGCTGGTTTACACTCTGGATTTCCAGGAACAATCAGTCTGGTAGGATCAACAGGGATGGATGCAGAGTTGTACCGAATGGCAAATACAAAATGTTGATCCACTGTGCACTCTACAGGAAGGATAGAAAAAAGCCACTTAAGTTTCACAGATTAAAAATTCAACATTTATACCATCTGTCAAAAAACTAGCCTTACCTTCAAGTGGGTAGTAGCAGACAGACGCTAGCAAATCCACACAACAGCCCATGGCCCGACATTCTGGGATAGATATTCCATAATGACCACATCTCACCTGCTCTCCCACAGGGATGCTGCAATCTGAAAAAGGGAAAAACAATTAATTTCATCTGAATAATGTTAAAGCATCTTCTACAAACCACTCACGTTGTCTTAATGTTGGTGATGATTGAGGGAATGCTGGTTGGGGCAATCCTGGTTGTGGTACTGAAGGAACCGGTAACATAGCTGGTGGAACCAGTGCTTGTGGATCTCTGACCAGTTTAACACACATCAAGGGCCCACCACCTGAACGTGGCACCATTTCTGGATCAAACTTGTCGCAAGATGTGGTCGACACTCGTTTCTGGCCAAGTGTATCGGTGTACAACAGCTGTAGACTGAAGCCATCCGCCTATAATAAATTGTAAAATAAAGTTTAATGACTTCCTGTTAAGCAAAACAGTCAAGGGAGAAACTCTTAAGCAACTTACATGCCGCTCCACATTGCACCCATTGAAGGGTACAGTTAAGGTGTTCTTCAGCAGATCCACTTCATAACCACAGTTTTCTGGCGCACCAACAATAGGCAGCAGACTGTCCCCAGAGCCTGGAGAAAGTACATGCCAAAGTTTTATCAGACAGAGCAATTCAAGCTATTACAAATCTAAAAATCTAATCCAAGTACATACCAAACACCTTGACCTCACTCAAAGGTCCTGTTGGCAGAATAATTTGGAAGCCACTTTCACTGCAAACAACTTCTAGATCAGAAGCAGTTGGATTACAACTGCCTGGCCAGCTCCTTGGAGGCTCATCTTCAAATTTTACCTGGAACCCACGGTCCACACCACCACCACCATAGTGCGTGGGTCTAGAATCATCTATGGCCAAGTCATCATAGTCAACATCGGAGTCAAAGTTTTCACTGCTGGCAACACCTTCGGCTTCAAGGACCACATCTTCAAGAATTTTAGCTTCACCCTGGTCAAGGCCACTACTGTAATCTGGACAACAGAGGTCGTTGTTAGGTCACTGATAACAAGATAAAAAACCCATTCATATGGGCAGGAAAAGCCAGAAGTGTAGCGTAATAAGCATGATGTTCATTCCTGTCAAATCTATATCGTAGGTTGTCACCATTAGCCGTCAGGCAACAAGCTGTTAGAAGCCACAAGTCGTAAGTGACCAATCCTGATAAATACACCTGCCCAACCGTCTCCCTGCTGTTTACCTGTAGGGTCATGTGGTTCGCCCCTCTCTCCGGGCTCATACAAACTGCGAAGCTGAGTTTCATTTATGCGCTCCCACCCCCGGACGGACACCGGCAGCAGAGTCCAAGTCAGGACTAGCAACAGCTCGAGCCTGCACCCAGCCATTCACGTGAAAGCTCTCATGCAGCTGCAGAAAGCCTCGCGCCCCGCTACAAGTACTGGCCCCAGCTTAATTGATTGCACCTGACTGCTGCTGATTTTTCACCTGCTGCCCCGTTACAGGTGGGAAGGATAAATAAACAGGCGAGAAGGAAACTCGCCTGTTTATTTATTTATTTTCAACCTTAATTATTATTCATTTAATTTACATTAATCTGGCCAATATTTTATTATATAGGGTATGGCAATTTCTTTTTAGATACTATGAAAAATCTTTAAATCACTTAAAGTTTCTCTGTGGTGGCCGTAGACCTTAGATGTAAACAAAAACCCAACAATTTATCTTTCTTGATTGACGTTTATTTTCGTTTTAATTTGGCGCAGGCATGTTTAAGAAGTGGACTAGTGGGGCGCGCTGAGAAAGATCAAATGACCTCTGCACTAAAGCAGTCCAGAAAATTGGACTTACAAAATATTTTTAATTATTAAATAATGTAGCTTCTATTTATATATAAGGAAACGGGGATGAAAGTGGTTTCTTCCCCGCCTATGACAATATTTGTGTCTGAGCTTGTGGAAGAAAATTGCAAAGTCCAAACGCAAATGTTTGGTTAATATCTCAAAATCTCAACTTTCTTACTGAAACCTCAAATTTAAGATAATAATCCAAAAGTTTGACTTTTCCAGTGAAGAAAACGAGCTTCCCTTAAAATCTCTTTATTTGCCTTAATTACATCATTTATCACTTCTTGCTCAGGTCCTCTTATTGCTTTTCTTTGTTTTATTTTTTATTGTTGCATATTTTAACAAAATATTTCCAAAAAAAAATACTTTACATAGTGAATCATCACTGGGCTTACCCAAGGTAATATAGAACTTCAAAACATATTTACAAAATTCATGCAGACAGATGATCTCTGTTCAGTATTTGTTTGTTTAATAAGGTCAAATAAATCAAATAATTTCCTTCAATAGAAAAATAAAATGACACAAATCACTTGTTGTTGCGAAACATTTATTTGCACTCAATTACATGAAAACCGATGTATGTTTCTACTGCAACACAGGTCAAATAAACAGACTATTCTAGAGTCTTTATCACTTAAAACATAAAATATCTTCTCTCTTTGAGCTTGATCTCTTGAACAATTTAGAAAAAAGAAGAAAAACCCCACAAATCTTGATGATTTTAATAGCTGAACAAAAAAGAAAATCACTTATAGGAGTTGGCTTTATGCTTAGGCAAGAATTCAAAATTCTTGGGTACGGGTCCAAGCAGCATTTCACTGGAAAGTGGAAAACAATTCATAAGACACTCATTATTACATTTTGCATTTTTAAAATCTTAATTTTGTGCAATCTTGAAATGTAATTCTAGAAAATAGGCATGTTTGTACTCACCTTATCCTGATCCAGTCCTCCACGTTCTGACTGGCCATCAGTGTCTCCAAATAGTTCCTGCCCATGTAGTACGGAGGTCTCTCATTGATCTTCTGAGGCACTCGTTCCAACAGGCCCACTGGAATATATCTGAGAACAGATGGAGGGAGAAGGAAAGCAACGTTTATCCCAGCAAACAGGAAAACTTAACAGCGAGAGTCAGATGAGTGAAGTGGAATGCAACATAGTCTATCACACATTTTCAGCTATTAAATGTCCCCAGTCTCATAAACTAATGGGAAAAGACCACAAATAAGTCTGTTACCCTAAAATTATATTAAAACAGCTTAATTGCACAGAATATATGAATCGAATTGCTCACAAAAGAACAAATGCAAAATTTCTGAAATGTGTTGTAGCCCACCGGCACAAGAAGGAGAGCCACTCAAGCAAGAAGGTGCGTGTCCTCTCCACGCCCCTAGTGTCGGAGCCCCAGTGCTCCAGGCCAAAGTTGCTGAAGTCCTTTAGGATGTCCAGTCGCTCACTGGACGAAATGTCCCAGTGTCGGCTCTCCTTGATTTCAGTGAAGATCCAAGGCTTAATGAGAGCACCCCTATAGAGAGAGAACCCAGAAAAGGTAATAAATAAATACATACATAAATAAATAAATGTATAAGGATCTTACATCCTATGGAGTAATTTGTGGTCTGTGTTTTCTTTGTATTTTCCTCTGAGAAACAATGTTTCCACACTTCAACTGAAAATTATACATGGAAAAAGACACCCACATATTAGCCTTAAGACCTCTGACAAATTTGCTGCTGGGTTTTAAAACAACTTAAAAAGATTCTTGATTTCACTGAGGCAAAATACACTCATGGCCACTTTATTAGTTTCACCTTGCCAGGACTGGATTGGACCCCATTTTGCCTTAAGAACTGCATAAAATCTTTGTAGCATAGATTCAACAAGGTACTAGAAACATTCATCAGAGATTTTGGTCCATATTGACACGACAGCATCACACAGTTCTTGTAGATTTGTCAGCTGCACATCCACGATGTGACTCTCGTGTTCCAACACATCCCGAAGCTGCTGTGTTGGACTGAGATCTGACGACTGTGGAGTTACTGTGAAGTCTGTTAGGTTGTGGCAGTAAATGATGCTCAGTTGGTTCCAAAACCCTAAAGTGTGCCAAGAAAATATCCCCCACATCATTACACCACCAGCCTGAACCACAGATACAACCCGGGATGGATCCATGTTGTTTATACCTAATTCTAAACATTTGATCCAAATGTTCTAGCAGAAGTGGAGTTTCACCAGAGCAGGCAGCAGTCTTATATCATATTGCAATTTTGGCTGTCAACTGGAAGCAGTCTGAAATATTTGTGTTAAGAAACAGTGGGACACGTGTACCTAATGAATGGCCAGTGAGTGTAAACAAATATACTTGAACTCTAATAATGGAAAAAGTTTTAAGTGAAATCTAAAAACAAAAGTCACTGGCTATCAGTTCCAGATGTCATCTTATCCGTTTTTAAGGCATTTCAATCATTTTTTTTACGCTGCAAGGAAATGACACTAACCTTGCAATCATGATCCCAGAAACTCCGGTCTCTTTCGCTTTCATTGCATCCTCATAGGACAAAATGTCTCCGTTACCTAGAAAAATAAAACCAAATCACCTGTCATTAATATGTACTATAAAAACATGTACAATAAAAACACTACACTGCATTCTGTGCAAGGTTTTACAACCTAGAGAACACCAAACTAAATGCATGAAACTGTTTAAACATCAGGAGGCTTTTGTCTTTTTGTGTAACCTTTACAAATCCACATACCAAAAAGTGGGATGGGGCTAGCCAGCTTGGCACATGTTGTGATATAGTCCCAATCGGCTAACTTTGTGTATCTCTGCTCTCTGGATCTGCCATGCAACTGTAGGAAAAACACAGCGTCAATGTTTTTTAATAGGAGAGGCGTATGTAAACATGTTATACATCACCGAACAGAATAACATCTCGAGAATGATTCGTCACTATAGGATATTTACATTTACATAAATGATACCGATTCAGAATTATGGATGCTTACAGCTACACTTGGCAACTCTGTAAACCTAGAAATGAAATTTCCTTTTTATCATGTTGATTTATGGCATAGGGACGATTTCACATTGCTCAAACATGCTCCTCTTTTACTTACTGTAATCATTGAGACGCCCCAATTCTTCATCTCTGGAATGAGCTTGTGTGCTATGTTAGACTTTTCCTGAACGCCGGTGCGGATCTTGACTGTTAGAGGGACATCAAGGACCTACAGGGAGAAAAATGTTTTCATTCAGCCTTTAACTGAAGGCTGTGTGTCTTTTATCCTGTCTTCTTCCCCTCACCCTAAAATAGTCACAGCACATGGCTGCCCTTCCCTGAGCCAGGATCTAATAAAGGTTTCTACTTGTTAAAATTGAGTTTTTTCTTCCCACTGTTACCAAATGCTTTTCGAGGGGGAATTGGGGTTTTCTCTCAAATACTGTGCTTAAAATATAAAGCATCTTGAGACAACTGTTTTATGTGATTGGGTGCTATATAAATAAAATTGAACTGAACTGTAACTTTGCAATGATCCACAAGAGCAACAAAACTCTCCTTCTTGCATCATTACCATACGATAGGCAAAAAGTCATACTTACATAATTCATTCCTTTGACTATTCGTTCAAATTTTCTGGTACGTGTCATCAAGCCGCAGCCTCCGCCCTGATGGGAAAAAAACAAAGGCCATCTGTCAGTGACTGTCATATTAATGTTTAACACTTCCTCTCAAATGCTGGTATCTGTGCTCTTTGTGCTGTAGTATAAACACACAAAATGCATCTGACTGCAAAATAGGAAGTCTCAATTTGTCTATTAGGAAATGAAAGAAAAAAAAGTCACAGTCTGAGCATTTGGGGGGGGCAAGTTAAGAGTTTACCTTGTTGTATACGAGATCAATGGGACACCCAGAGTTGATGTCCACAAAATCAACTTCAGTGTTGTTGTTGATGAGCTCTGCACACCTCGTCATTGTGTCGGGGAAACTGCCCTCCACCTAGAGATGCAATTCAGGCTTTAAAAATCACAGTCCTTGCACTCTCACACAAATCCAGACGTCTTACCAACAACCCCCTCTATAGGACTGAATCCTTCAGAAGATTTTAAACATCACCTGAATACCGAACACATCTTCACTTTCGTGTCTCCTCAGGAGGGCCCACTCAGACTGGTGCCCCTGCAGCAGGTTTGTACACATGGCCATCTCCCCACATGTGATGTCTGCACCAAAGCGCTTACACACGCGACGGAAAGGCAGATTTCCACACTGAGGAAATTAAAGAAATACTTGCTTTATCAGATCCAGACCTCATTTACAGGTCATTATTTAATTGCACTTGCTACATT